GAACCCCACCCCAGTCAGTGCCCCTGAGCACCTGTTGGTAAACACACACACACACACACACACACACACACACACACACACACCATGCACACCTTTCCTTGGAGTGGCAGTGTGCCCAGCCCCAGGGAATGGGTTATGATTGGTCTACTCCAGTGGTTCTCAACCTTCCTTATGCTGCGACCCTTTCATACAGCTCCTCATGTTGTGGTGACCCCCAATTTCATTGTTACAAGTTAAACATAATTAAAGCATAGTGATTAATCACAAAAACAATATGTAATATGTGTTTTCCGATGGTCTTAGGCAACCCCTGTGAAAGGGTCGTTCAACCCTCAAAGGGGTCGCGACCCACAGGTTGAGAACCTCTGGTTTACACCAAGGATTGGCAAACTATGGCCTGAGGGCCAAATCTGATTGCTCCCTGTTTTAGTATGGCCGGTGAGCTAAAATGATTTTGGACATTTTTTTTTAATGGTTGAAAAACACAATAGAAAAAGAATATTTTGTGATGCATGAAAGTTATTTGAAATTCAAGTTTGTGTCCATGAATAAAGTTTTATTGGCACACAACCACACCCATTTGTTTATGGATTTTCTAGAGCCATTTCTTGCTACGAAGGCGGAGTTTCATAGTTTCGATAGAGACTGCGTGACCCACAAAGCCTAAAATATTGACTCTCCAGCCCTTTACAGAAGTGTGCTGACCTTTGGTCTAAGATAATGGTGATAATCCTGCTCCCTTTCCCCAGCCTTTCTTGCCGCTAAGAGTGGCCACATGTTCCAGTTCTTTCCAAAGAGAACGAAGCAGAAACCTGCTGGGGAGGAGTGTATGAAAGCATTGCTTTTCAAAGAGAAGGAAACAGCTATGGGGGGACCTGCCCTACTTCCTACTTCCTGCCTTAAGCGTGGGGATGCTGTCTGGAGCCCACTCAGCCCTTTTCTTTCAGAGCTCGTTTCCTGCCCAGGAGCTGGAAAACAGGGTCAAGAGTCCAGTTGGGCGGGCTGGCTGGGGGCCAAGAATGGGGGAGGTCCACCCTGCACATCTGCCCTGGACTGTGGGCAGCTTCTCACCCAGACCCGGTTTGTACACAGAGGAGCCACCAGGCACCTGAGCTGGACTCTGCTGGCCCCGACACTGACAGGAAGAGGGGAGAAGAAGGGCTGAGATTCTTGGTGGCCAGCACTTTCTTGCGTCGCCTGGGTTCCCCTCTACCACTAGCTCCTTCCACAGTAGCTGAGAGGAAGGAGGTCATCAAAAAAATGTTGAGTGGTTGAGTAGTGGATGGATGAGGAAGGGGGAGAGAGTGAATGAACGAAGGAAAGAGAAAACAGTTATTAAGAGGCTTCCACACACATGAGCCCACAGCAATCCTGGGAGGCCTCAGGCTAGGTATTATTACGGCCATTTAATAGAGGAGAAACGGAGGCTCTATAAGACTAATTGACTTCCCTAAGGTCACAGAGTTACAAGACCTGAAGCTGGGACCCAAACCCCAGCTGGTTCAAATCCCTGGGCACAGGCCCCTCCAGCCTCCCCACCTTGGACATCAATCACCTCCTGGCCATGCTCGGCCCACGAGACAGGGACCCAGGCGAAGAACCTGCCATCACCTCAGTGAAGCATGAAAGGGACTTTCGTGATGTGGGCCTGGGCAGCTGCCAGGAACGCCTCTCATCCACATCCTCCAGTCCTGCTCTTGAGACCGCCAAGAACACGTCACCTCCTTAGCAGGTGCTGAGAGCATATTTGTGGAATGAATTAGTTGCCTTGTATCAGTACAAATTCCTCAACAAAAAGTCATAGGCTGCAAAATCTCCAAAAAAGCAGGTAAATTTGACTCCACGTTTCCTAGCTTTGCACCGGATTGGAATGTGCCTTCTGGTCGCAGAATAAGCCTCCTGCCGCCCTGCACAAGCTCATGGTCATCAGCACTGTGATCATGGGTGTCACTCACCACACCAAGCACGGGATGGAAACGGTCTCAGATAAACTTTAGAACAACCCGATGAGGATATTGCTATCCTCATTGGATGGTT